GGCTAGAGTGCCATGGTGTCAGCCTAGCTCACAGCAACCTCAGACTCCTGGGCTCAAGCGATCCTCCTGCCTCAGCCTCTTGAGTAGCTGGGACTACAGGCATGTGCCACCATGCCCGGCTAATTTTCGTATTTTTAGTAGAGATGGGGTCTCCCTCTTGCTGATGCAGGTCTCGAACTCCTGAGATCCTCCCGCGTTGGCCTCCCAGAGTGCTAGGATTACAGACATGAGCCACCGTGCCTGGCCGTTTTATGTCATTTTTATTATAGGTGTTGTAATGTTATAGCTCAAACACCAAAACATTTACCTTAGAAAGAATGAGCTCATCAAATTGCCAAATCCTAAATCACTAAATCTAAAAATCATCAATCACCATTTTAAGGTACAATTTGAAAATAAAATTGAATAAATGAAGAAAATGCTCAATTTGTTTTTTTATATCTTATAGTCATTTGCAAATACATTCACTTAAAATTAATAAGAAGTTCATTGATTCCCATGGCCTGAGATTTATGTGAAAACACGAGTTATTGAGTCAATATTTGTTGGGTATCAACTATCAACTAGACAAAAATCAGAAGTTATTTCTTAAAAAATAACTTTAGAGACAGGAATGAACAAGTCACTTTGCTCTACCTGGGACTAAGTTTCTCATCTATATTTCAAACCCTGGGTTTGGAGAGTTTAACTAGATTTCTTAAGACCCTTTGAAAATATCTTATCTAGGAAATTCGAAGCTAACATTTAGTTGAACCCACGTGTACGAGCTATTAGGAAAACTCACAGAAAACTCTCCACAGGGAAGCTAGTGTTTCCATGAAAATAACGACTAAAAATTGATTTCATGTATTGGTAGCAATTTGAAGTACAACCTTGGTTCATCCTATCCAGTGACACTGTTCTCAAGTTAAAATTATCTTCAGGAAGCATTCAGCAAATACTGAATTATTTAGTGCCTACTGGGATGCAACAGAGAGTAAGAGAAATGTGGCCCTTGTTTCTCAGTCAGTTTATAGTCCGTGTAAATGAATATGAGGGAAATAAACAAATGAGCCTACCTTGCACTAAAAATTTACCTCTTTTAAAACACCTCCTTCCTTAAACAATCACTATATTGTCAAGGGTTGCAACATGCCGACTGAAGATATTTGGACTTATTTCTCAGCCTCCGTTACAGGTGAGGGGGGTAAGGAGATGCAGGCAGAAGTCACTTGGGCTTTTAGGGAAGCTCTTCAAGGGTCATTTACTTAGGAAGCAGGTCCTCCTTCACTCTTCTCATTCCCTGCTTCTGTCTGCCCGTTATTGGACACTATAGCTGGTGCTGTAGTGGCCTTTTTGTACCATGAGGCAGCCTTGAGGAAGACGAGTCTGGGAAATTGATGATGTCATGACATCACCTAACTGGCCTGGAACTGTCTACTTGCAAACTTCTATCTGAGAGAAAGTATATCTTTGTCTTGTTCAACACAGTGTTATTTCCAGTCTCTGTTATTTACAGTTAATCATAATTCCTCTTTTAAACAGATTTTTTATTGTTTTAAAATAGAGACAGGGTCTCACTCTTGCTCAGGCTGGTCTCAAACTCCTGAGCTCACATGATCCTCCTGCCTCGGCCTCCCAGAGTGCTAGGATTACAGGCGTGAGCCACCGTGCCCGGCCTAAACAGATTTTAAAACAGATAAAAAGATGCATTTCTCTGGAGATGGAAGGTCACGTCAAATAGAGTTTTAAAAACCCCGTGTTTCCAGCAAGGATGTGTTCTTATGATCTTCCTAAGAAATGTCCTAATGTATGTAGACATTTGTATAGGACAACATCTTCTTGGACAGCTTTCTGGACACACTCAACTCCAAATGATCACCATTTCTATTCTGGGATAAACGAACCTGACCTTTGTCTCTAAACACTGTTTCAACGTTGACACCATGAGCTTCACGCTCCCTCTCTGTTTCTCGCACACTCTGTTGTTCTGCCTCTTCCACGTTCTAGAGACCACTCCATCTGGGCTGCGTCCTCACCAGCACTCTTCTCTCTCCAGCACATTTCTCTTGGCCTTTCTCGATTTTGTCCCCAGCCCTGGCCTCCTAGTAATATATTTCATAGATTCTACCATTTCTCCTCCAGAACTCTAGGGTCTTAACCACGCACCCTGAAGTGCTTAAGCAGATTCGTGGATCACTTTAAAGGAACACAGTAGCCTTTCGACATGGAAGAGAGATGGCCCTTTGGACAAGAATGTCATTTGGCCTCTGACACTTTAGAAACATCATCGTCAACATATCAACATCTTCTTCCTCACCACCTTCTTCACATCCTCTTTTTCATCACTGCCTCCATCCCACCATCCTCACCACCACCATCCTCACCACCACCATCCTCATCACCACCATCCTCATCACCACCATCCTCACCCCCAACACTCCAGAGAATACCAGCTGACATGCACTAAGTGCTTGTCATCATTTGTTCATTCGCAGAGACTAGTGAGGTAGCTCTGTGCTGGGGAGCTGGGATTCACAGGCAAAGAAACCTGGGTGCAGAGCGGTGAACATGCTTACATCAACGCCTGGTGTGCGCCGGGTGGTGGGATTTGAATCCAGTTCTGGCGCCAGAGCCCACCTCTTCGCCCCTCCATTCTACCTCCTCTGGCAGTTCTGCTATCAAAAATGTAGGACTCCCTCTTCAACGGCGAAGAACATCAGCCTTTCAGGAACATGTTAGAAAGTTTAGCTGTGAATTTAATTTATCCAACATTGGACAAAGACTCCTTTGGGACGTTTAATATCCGAGAGAGTCTAATGTACTTGCTAGCTACCTGCGCTTCTCATTTTATTACTTATGTCTCCATATGAGTTTAGACATCAGTCCTGCCCTTTGGGAATCCCAAGTTTATTGTCTAATGTTCATTTGAAGAAAATTTTTGTGCCTTTGTTAATATCTGCAGGGGAATACATTTTCCTTATGCCAGTCTCTTTGTCTTGTAATTTATTTTTTAAAATTAACATATAACATTGTATGCTTTTATTGTGTATGTGTTTGAAATATATATATGTATATTTATACACACACACACACACACACACACACACACATACACACATTGTGGAATGGTAGCTAACCTTCAAGGTCTGTGTTAAATTCTTCCTTGGATTCAGAGATACTAACAACAACACAAGTCTCTCATTCACAGTGCTTAGTCCTTGACTGAGCACACATTTCTTTTTTTTTCTAAGTCACAGAACCTAACTTCAGAGCTGGACAGAAGTAACTAATCAATCTCTCACAGCTGACAGCACGGATAAGTCTTCTTATTTTCGATCAGGGTTATCCTATTTTTGCTTTCATTGTCATGTTTATATTGACTATTACAATGTACCTTGAGATTTTATTTTGAAATAGGTTGACAGGAAATTCTACAGGTAAACCAATATCCCCCAGTGACTATTCCAAGGAACGCCAGCTCGGCGGGACACAGTGAGGTGGTCCAGGAAAAACTGTTCCCAGGCCAACCCTGCAGACCATACCTAACCCTTTTGGAGAAACACGAAGCAGTTTAAAGTGAACCAGGAGTCCTGCAGTTAGAGAAAGCTTTTAAACTATTCAACTCAGTGCTCCCCACATCTATTTGACCCCGAAATCTTTTTTTCACAGCCCCTGTGGTGTGACTGGTGAGACTAATTTCTTGGAACACTAGTTTGGGAAGCACGGAAGGCAGGAGCCATCTGTAGGAGCGGCTGCAGGAACGCTGTTGGGGAGGTCAGGGCATGGAGCCGTGTCAGGCGACCGTGGACCTTGCTGTTTTAAGGCTGGAATCCTGAGTGCCCCAGACACCACGGGGAGAAAGGGAGTTGTCTACACCCTGAATAAGTCGTGGAGGGCTGCTGCGGCGAGAGCACGTGGGGGAACTGGGAGGCTGAGAGGGTCGGTCCACCTGTCCCAAGCCACCCGGAGTAGCCCTGGGGTTCCTCGAGAGAGGGTGGGGCAACCTCAGGTCCGCCCATGAGCCTTTTCTCCGAATGCCTCGGAGGGTGTGAACGCCAGCAGCAGACGAGAATGCCCGGCACCATGGTGGGGACTGCGGCTTTGAGGCACAGAGTCTGGTTCACTTCCCATTTCTGCCACAAGCCCACGATCTTGCGGCTGTTCTCTAGGTCCTGTGAGCTTAACCATCAGCTCATTCGTCAAGTGCAAAACCGAGCTCACACAGGCAAATGAGGCAACAGGAGGAGAGCACTGGGGTGGATGCAGCAAAGGCTTGGCAAATGTCAGGGGCCATTGTACCTATTCTAGGCCCTTCCCTTGGCCTAAGAAAGGCATCGGATCCAGGGCCCTGGCCCCGCCCCCAAAGAAGCCATGATCTTAGCACACTGCTGTCAGGTGCATAGTGCAAATGGCTTCCTAGTTTGGGTACAGACTCAGCAACTGGATGCGATCTTGTGTGCTCAGCCCTTCCCCAAACACAGCTCCGCTGGAATAAATGCGAATCAGCAATGGCGATCCACAGTGGTGAGAGCACGGGGGCTGAGTGTGACTCATGGCTCTCCTAGACAGACTCGCTTGGCTGTTATTCATAAGCTCCTGGGCCACACTGTTACTGACAAGAAAGTCTGCTCTACCTCCTCGCTGCTGTTCCGTCTGGCCTCTCAATCTGTACTTGCTGGAAAAAAATAGTTATTGTTATGCTAAAATCACAATGGGACTCTCATAACTCAGTGCTAAATAACACCCATAAAACTATGGAAATGGCACTTGGGCATTAAAAGTTATTTTCTTATGGACTTTAACAAGATTCAGTGCTTTTGTTCTCACAGTGCTCTGGTGTTTCAGCTTCGCACACACACACAAGATAAAAATGTGAGGAAGGATTCCAGCAGGACACCATTCTCCCTCCCGCAAAGCAGTGTTTTGATTTTGCACACAGGGAACCAGCAGGGCTGTGGTACGCGGAATGAGTATCGACCGTGGTCGTTACTGCGACGGTGGTGACAGCAGGGGCTTACCTCTTTCTTGGTGAATTTTGGCGAGTGATCGTTTTTGTCGTCGATCATGATTGTGGCGGTGGCCGTGCCGGTTAATCCAACGTCCAGTCCAGCCATGTCCTGAGCTTCGATGATCAGCTCGTACTTGGGATTTTCCAGAGTCTGCAAAGCACAAGCACAGAGGGAAAAGACGGCATTTAGACCTGGGCTGCTGCTTTGGGAAGGTGGCAGATGCGTGGCTCGGCTGTCCCTCCCCTCCCCCGTGGAGGGCAGGCCTCTTTAAGCTGCCATGGCTTTACTCCCGACTGTGTATAAATGTGCCTTGTAAAATCCCTCCAATACAAGACAGTCACTATTCATAGACTGGAGCTGTGTGGGGGACAGAACCTATTTACTGTCCTTGTTTAGGGGAACATTTGATATATTCCAGAATGTTCCATGTCCTGTGCTTGGCTATACACTGTATGTTTAATTTTTATACCCACATCTGTCATTTCACAGTGACCTCATGAAGCTGATCTGAAAATGCGGTTAACTTTGGTGGTGACTTTAGGACAAAGATGGCAGCTTCAGGAACTCGCATTTACTGACCATGGGATGGCACAGACATCGTATCACTGTACTTTACAGAACTCCTCATAGTTAATCTTTTCAGCAAGCAGGTCAAACTGCAATTATTCCTCCCATTCCACGAATGGGAAAAAAACAACTGAGGTTTAGAGTCACTTATACTGCATCTGTTCAGGTAATTTTAGTCTCATAGGTTACATTTGGAAGATGCATTTAATCCAACCATGATCTGAAAAATTTAACACAAACAATGTTGCACTATTGTCTCTTTTTATATACACGTTTTTCATTTGAATATTTGACAGATACTTAGCTACCATGTTCAAACATTCAAAACAACTAACCAAACAGCTCTGATGCTAAGACGAAGAGCGTGGTGTCTGGCAGATAACAGCCCCTACTTTTAAATTGCCTTCTGTAGTGGATCTTCTTGTCTTGGTCAAACCACACACTTTTCTTCTGGCAAGGCAGCACCCCACGTTTACTTTGGGGTCCTACCCCTCCCTTACTCTCTGCCCGTGTGCTCTGGGTTGGATTGCCTTCTCCCCAGTGAACTTTTGGGATGAGCCCTGATGAGGAGAAGCTGACGAGTACATCCCATTCCAGGGGTATAATGATTAGTCCAGGCCAGGCCAGGCCCTGTGTTTGGCAGCCAGGGGAAGGAAGTTGTTTCCCCACAGTGCGAACCCAGAAACATTTATCTGGGGCAGCTAGAGGAGCCATCGCGTGACCACAGCAGAGGTGGTGCAGGGAACACCTGTCTAAGAATGAAACCATCTCCTGGGAGAATTATGCTTGAACCTTGCGGCAAAAAGAAATGGTTCTCAGTGATTATACTGGGCCACTTCATCATGCCATGCCTGAAGCCAGCCCTGCCCACCGACTTTGCAGCTAATGAAGGCGTTAATTTTCCTTATTTGCTTAAACCAGTTTGCATTGGTTTCTTAATCACTCACACAGAGAGTCTGAGTGGAACTACCTTTAATGACAAAAATAAAAGGTGTTTATAATCACATAAATAGTCCTACCAGCACGACAGCCTCAAAAACAGTTGGTTATACCAACTAATAATTAAGAAATACCACAGGGAGTAAAGAACAAAAAAACAACAGGGGGTCTCTACTTTTCTGCTAAAGCCATCAGTTTACACAGTAAATTTTAATAGCGCAGTGCTAGCTCTCTCAAAAACTTTGAAGTATTTTTGAAGGGTAGTTAGCTATTTGCTCCCTGGGGCATCTTTAATTGGTATTTCTTTAACTTCTAGGTAGCTTCTGAGCTACTAACTTAAGAAGTATTAGTTTTGTTGGACAGTTTGGTAAGGCCCTAAATTTATTTTTTATTTTTATTTTTGAGACTGAGTCTCACTCTGTCACCCCGGCTAGAGTGCAGTGGTGTCATCATAGCTCACTGCAGCCTCCAACTCGTGGTCTCAAGCAACTTCCTGCTTCAGCCTCCCAAGTAGCTGGGACTACAGGCGCCACCACCACACCCGGTTAATTTTTTCTATTTTAAGTAGAGACAGGGTCTCGCTCTTGCTCAGGCTGGTCTCAAACTCCTGAGCTCAAGCGGTCCTCCTGCCTCGGACTCCCCGAGTGTTGGGATTACAGGCGTGAGCCACCGTGCCCGGCCAAGGCCCTAAACTTAAATTCATGATGATGAGTGGGATGCTGATGTGCTCTTTGACAGCTCCACACATAATGTTTTGGTTTTAATTCCAGCTCCACCAGGACTGAAGGTCCCAAAGTTCTCTGACGGCTGAGTGCAAATGGAATTTGACACTATACCCAGCTCTGGTTCTGCCTGGCTCAATTGGTACTTCTCTGTATAGGTGCTTGAAATGCCATCCACTCACAAGTTGAAGATGGAAAACTTTACCTTAACGTAAAGTTTTCTACTTGCCACCATTGGCTTTCTACTTATCATCATTGACAAGTTGGATTGGGTTTACTATTTGCCATAAATAGTAGCTGGACCGCATGAAACCAGTAAATTGGCCACCTACAAAATCTTTCCTGAGTGTCTCTGGACATGCTAACCACTGGCCTGAACATCATAGGCTTAATTGTTGTATAACATTTTAACTTCTGTCCTAAGACATTATAAATGTTTTTGAAAGTAAACAACCATTGAAATAAGAAATTATATAGATTTTTCCCCAATATTAAAGAGATCATTGTAAATGTAATATCATTTTTCCCATGTAATATCACTTATCAGCATAATTCCTGTACATTAAGGGTTGTGTAAAATATAATCATATGGATATTTTATAATTTACTTAATCATCATCTATAATATTATTAGCTCTTTAGGTTATTTGCAGTGTTTAAAAAATGTTGATGGTTTTAAATAGCACTGCAATGAACATCGTTATTCAGGGAGGCTTATATATACTTTGGCTGTTATTTTTTGTTTTGTTTGTTTGTTTTTGAATGATAGATCCCAAGATGCATGTGGAATTACTGGGATGAAGGGTATGAGTATTTTAAGGCTTTTTATTTACATTTCAATATTGTTTTCCAAGAGGATGCTATGAATTCTATACCAGTCTTACCAGAATGTTTAGTTTATGTCTAAAGAACAGCTCCTGTTATTGCCCTGTGAAGCAAGTTGGGGGACTAGTGTGATACCATGACGGCTACCTAAGAAGGAGAGAAATTCCTCACAGCATTCACGCTCCTCCAGCTTGGAGTATAGCTCACGATGGAAACTGCTTCAAACACTAAGGACAGCAGGTGGGTACTGCTTCAATCTCCCAGTCTCCACTCGCTCTTCCTGTACCTACGCTATCACTCCCTCAGGGCATCGTCTGGTCCTCATTCTCAGCACAGGTGGAGTTCAGGTGGGTTTGGCTCCGCCCCTCATCTAGGGATGGGTATGTGGTTCAGGCCTGGCCAATCAGAGCTTTCCATTCCCATGGCCATGGGATGTGCATGTAACCTAAGTTAGTCCACCCTGACATTGAAATTCAGTTCTGGGATGTATTTCTTTTAGAATGCTTAAGGCAAAGAAGTTCTCTTTCTGCTAGGCTTGAGAAAGTCAACCTGAGAATGGAGGTAACACAGGCTAAGAGGTAGAGATGGATGGAGTTGGTTTTTTTAAAACATCATTTGAGCCCCTTAATAGTCATCCTTGAATCGAGAATTTACTGCTCAGATTTTGTGAGTTCTGTGAGCTAACACATTTCTCCTTTCCTCTAGACACTTGATTTAGATGTTCTGTGAGTAGCAACAAGGCAGTTTTTACTAATATTGCAACTAATACTATGACCAATTATCTGGTTATTAGTAAGAAAGCTTAAGAGCTACCGAATCACACCATAGCATTGCAGTAGGCTCTTCCCAACAGCATTGCAACCATTTCACGAGTGCATCATTTTCTCTTTTAACGGTTTCCCCTGCACAGACTTTTTTCCCAGAGAAAGTTACCATAATTTTTTCTTTTATTATTTTATATATCCATTTAATTGGTGGTTAATGAATATCTAGTTTAAATGTTGTGCTGGGGATATACTGATGGAAAAACAGGGTCCCTTTCTTTAAGGAGTTCAAAGGATAGGGTTGAAGACAGTCATGTTCACGTATAACTGCAACAAAATACAGTCAAATCTAAGCAGAGGTATGTACAAATTCTCATGATCGTATGAGGGGACACATGGGCATAACTCTCTTGTAGTTAAACACATTTTATAAATAATTTAAAAAATGAACCAGTCAATCTCCATCTCTTGAAGAAAATAAAACTTTACGGCTGTAATGTGAAATAGATTGATTAACCTTGCAGAGAATCAATTAGATTACTGAGTAGATAAATTGCAAGGTTTGGGATGAGATGTTCCAAAAGTCTTCATTTTCTGGCAAACTTAAGGATAACATTAAAAATGCCTTTTATTACTGAAGTAATGTCCAATTATTGTAAGGAAAATAAAAATGATACACCCATTTCTAAAGTGGAAACTGAGGACTTGCCTCCACCCTTATCCAACCTTACCCCTATGAAGTGTGTCTCCCTGCTTTTCTCTACACATTACAAGTACACACACAGATACATTTGATGTACCCTCATAGGTAGTACACATTTATGTGCACACATATTTAAACGGAATGATACCACTTACATAGTTGCAGTCTGTTATACCATATCACTTTTATCTCAGTGCTTACAGATCTGCCTGTTCATTTCAACAGCTCTACACTAGTCCCCTGTAGGAATCCACTCTAATTTCTTCAATCAGTCCCTCTTGTCATTTGAGTTGCTTCCAAATTTTCACTTTTAAAAGCAACTCTAATATAAAAAAATTCATTGGCTTGTTAGTATTTTGGGGTTTTTCTCTAATGAACATTATTGCTTTCACAATGAGAACAACAATAACAAAAACCAAACAACCAAGAATAAAAGTAACCTCCTTTGGAATGTAAAAGTCTCAGTCATATTTAAAAATCAGAGAAAATGCCACATGAGTTCCCGCACTCTTGTGTGACCAGGATACTTTCCGCTTACGTCCTTTCTATTTCCCACTCCTACTGAGCCTCTTCCAGAGGTCACCCCTAATTCCCTAACTCTCTTTGTCACTCTTACTTGAAATATACATA